ATCTCCTCAAAATGAGCAAGTCTGAGGTTAGTATGATGGTACATATTCTGAGTGGACACACAGGATTACGTGCACATCTATACAAAATTGGACGTGCGGATTCAGACGAATGTAGAGCATGTGGAGAAGACTGTGAAACTCTGGAGCACTTTCTTTGCCATTGTCAGGCATTCGTCGAAGTTAGATCCAAGTATCTTGGAAGTGATGTTATTCCGGAAATAACATTCTTAACCAACACCGATTGGAAGATTCTTAGGAATTACGTCCAGGAAACTGAGTTTCTTAACATGGAAAAATAACACATTCAGTGAACAATTTTTTTTTTTATGAATTGGGGCGCACAACAGGCCCGATAGTGGCCTAGGTGTATTTCTTCGGATTTGATGTAGTATACATCCTCCTATCAACCTAACCTAACCATCCCCAAGAAGTTACATTTCTATTCTTTTCGAAAACTGTCTTCCCCCATACTAAAACTGTCTCTTCCTAGTGTCGCAAGGAAGATTTTTTTCTTTACGAAAACTGTCTCTTCCTGAGAAATGTCTTAAATATGTTAAACTAAATAAATTAATACAAATTAAATAGAAATTTATAAACCTTATAAATCAATAAAAATAAATAAGAAATGCAATCATTAACCAAACATAAAACAGCAACAGAATAAATGAAATAAAATAAATTTAAAATAAAAATTACAAAAAAAAAAAAGCTCTGCAACACATTGCCTCAGTACACTACATTGACTTTCAGTTTTTAAAATATTCGTTTTTGTAAAGAAAAAAGAAGAAGAAAAAAGAGTTTAATTTTTTTTATTTATATTATTTCAAGTTCAATAAACTTTGAATTACCTTCGACGATTTGTAAATAACTTTAACAAAAAATAAACATATATTTATTCACAAACTAAACAAGATGATGATACATAAACATAATGTGCTGTAAAAAATTAAAATGCCAAACAATTTTGGGTTCATTTGCAAACAACAAATAAAAGATAATTTAACAAATATTCACATAAACAAAGATTTAAAACTACAAAATGAAATCATGACCAACCAAATAACAGTAAATTATTTTTTGTTTAAATGAACTCAAAAGCTAAACAGAACTAAATTATATAGAGAAGTCATTTTCTAAATGTTTAAGGTCATTTGATAATTTATATGCGGCTAGAGGATTCAGTAATTAAAATTTTGAGAAATTAAGGGAGATTTTAAAATAACTAGAACAGAACTGGAAGAGAACTGAAACAGAACTATAACAGAACTAGAACAGAACTAGAACAGATCTAGAACAGAACTAGAAAGAACTAGAACAGAACTAGAACAGTACTAGAACAGAACTAGAACAGAACTAGAACAGAACTAGAACAGAACTAGAACAGAACTAGAACAGTACTAGAACAGAACTAGAACAGAACTAGAACAGAACTAGACAGAACTAGAACAGAACTAGAACAGAACTAGAACAGAACTAGAACAGAACTAGAACAGAACTAGAACAGAACTAGAACAGAACTAGAACAGAACTAGAACAGAACTAGAACAGAACTAGAACAGAACTAGAACAGAACTAGAACAGAACTAGAACATAACTAGAACAGAACTAGAACAGAACTAGAACAGAACTAGAACAGAACCAGAAGAGATCTAGAACAGAACTACAACAGAACTAGAACAGAACTAGAACAGAACTAGAACTGAACTAGAACAGAACTAGAACAGAACTAGAACAGAACTAGAACAGAACTAGAACAGAACTAGAACAGAACTAGAACAGAACTAGAACAGAACTAGAACAGAACTAGAACAGAACTAGAACAGAACTACAACAGAACTAGAACAGAACTAGAACAGAACTAGAACTAGAACAGAACTAGAACAGAACTAGAACAGAACTAGAACAGAACTAGAACAGAACTAGAACAGAACTAGAACAGAACTAGAACAGAACTAGAACAGAACTAGAACAGAACTAGAACAGAACTAGAACAGAACTAGAACAGAACTAGAACAGAACTAGAACAGAACTAGAACAGAACTAGAACAGAACTAGAACAGAACTAGAACAGAACTAGAACAGAACTAGAACAGAACTAGAACAGAACTAGAACAGAACTAGAACAGAACTAGAACAGAACTAGAACAGAACTAGAACAGAACTAGAACAGAACTAGAACAGAACAGAACTAGAACAGAACTAGAACAGAACTAGAACAGAACTAGAACAGAACTAGAACAGAACTAGAACAGAACTAGAACAGAACTAGAACAGAACTAGAACAGAACTAGAACAGAACTAGAACAGAACTAGAACAGAACTAGAACAGAACTAGAACAGAACTAGAACAGAACTAGAACAGAACTAGAACAGAACTAGAACAGAACTAGAACAGAACTAGAACAGAACTAGAACAGAACTAGAACAGAACTAGAACAGAACTAGAACAGAACTAGAACAGAACTAGAACAGAACTAGAACAGAACTAGAACAGAACTAGAACAGAACTAGAACAGAACTAGAACAGAACTAGAACAGAACTAGAAGAACTAGAACAGACTAGAAACTAGAACAGAACTAGAACAGAACTAGAACAGAACTAGAACAGAACTAGAACAGAACTAGAACAGAACTAGAACAGAACTAGAACAGAACTAGAACAGAACTAGAACAGAACTAGAAACAGAACTAGAACAGAACTAGAACAGAACTAGAACAGAACTAGAACAGAACTAGAACAGAACTAGAACAGAACTAGAACAGAACTAGAACAGAACTAGAACAGAACTAGAACAGAACTAGAACAGAACTAGAACAGAACTAGAACAGAACTAGAACAGAACTAGAACAGAACTAGAACAGAACTAGAACAGAACTAGAACTAGAACAGAACTAAAGAACTAGACAGAACTAGAACAGAACTAGAACAGAACTAGAACATAATAGAACAGAACTAGAACAGAACTAGAACTGAACTAGAACAGAACTAGAACAGAACTAGAACAGAACTAGAACAGAACTAGAACAGAACTAGAACAGAACTAGAACAGAACTACAACAGAACTAGAACAGAACTAGAACAGAACTAGAACAGAACTAGAACAGAACTAGAACAGAACTAGAACAGAACTAGAAACAGAACTAGAACAGAACTAGAACAGAACTAGAACAGAACTAGAACAGAACTAGAACAGAACTAGAACAGAACTAGAACAGAACTAGAACAGAACTAGAACAGAACTAGAACAGAACTAGAACAGAACTAGAACAGAACTAGAACAGAACTAGAACAGAACTAGAACAGAACTAGAACAGAACTAGACAGAACTAGAACAGAACTAGAACAGAACTAGAACAGAACTAGAACAGAACTAGAACAGAACTAGAACAGAACTAGAACAGAACTAGAACAGAACTAGAACAGAACTAGAACAGAACTAGAACAGAACTAGAACAGAACTAGAACAGAACTAGAACAGAACTAGAACAGAACTAGAACAGAACTAGAACAGAACTAGAACAGAACTAGAACAGAACTAGAACAGAACTAGAACAGAACTAGAACAGAACTAGAACAGAACTAGAACAGAACTAGAACAGAACTAGAACAGAACTAGAACAGAACTAGAACAGAACTAGAAAGAACTAGAACAGAACTAGAACAGAACTAGAACAGAACTAGAACAGAACTAGAACAGAACTAGAACAGAACTAGAACAGAACTAGAACAGAACTAGAACGAACTAGAACAGAACAGAACTAGAACAGAACTAGAACAGAAACTAGAACAGAACTAGAACAGAAATATAACTAGAACTAAACTAGAATAGAATTGGTACAGAACTAGAATAGAACTAAAACAGAACTAGAACAGAATTAGAACTCAACCCAGCTCTACCGTTTTATGTAGTTTAGTCTATAAAGACTTTTGAAAGCAACCTTGACAATCAATAATACTTCCTTTATATATCGTTTTAAATTTATGTTTGATTTTCTTTAATAATACATAATAAAGTTTAAAAAGCCTACATAAAATGAAAACCTACTATTTCTCAATTGAAAACTTAACCCTTTAAAAAACGCCTTAAGAATCATGAATTAAATCATAAAAAAATAATATATATAGACACGCTTAATATGTACGTCATTAAAATTTAGTTGGTTTGGTTTGAGTTTTTTTATTTTTAGCTTTGGCCATGACTGGGATATGGAAACGATGAATCATTCTGCAGACTTTTTGTTCATAAGTTTCTTTTTTTATTTTTCTTCCAATATTTATGGCTTTTATTTTTCTGTTTACATTCTTTTAGAGCCGGTTTATGCGAATGCTTTTGTATTGCTTTTATTATTGTAAAAATTATCTCATATTTTCTGAAGTAGCTATGCTTGTCAGAGAAGACTTTTGATTTAAATATGTTTTTATATAAATGACCTTTATTTTAAATTTCTTATATAAAAAAAGAATGTGAAAGTTATTTAGTTATTTTTTTATATTAACATATTTTTTCTTTTTTTATTAAAAATTTCTTTTTCATTTCCTATACAAAAGTATGCAAAAAAATTCATTTAAATAATTTATGCTAAAGGCATAATTTTAATATTAGTTGTTTTGCTTTAAGTTAAAAAATTACAAATTTTATAGTTATTTTTATTAATTACCTGCTTGTTGTTAAAGGGTTAATGATTTGTTATTATATCTTATGTAGGTTTATTAAGTAGGCTCTATCAATCAATTGCAAACCAAAAAAACAACAATTTATAAGTTTTAAGTCTTAAAACACAACAATAATACTTGTTGTAATGCTCTCATTTCAAAATGATCCGTGAAAGGTCATAAACACTAACAAAAACCGCTAACAATTAAATAACAAATATTTGTTGTTTACACTACATATGGTAACCTTGTTATTTCGACAACTGTCAATCACTGTGCATTGATAACAACTTTCTAATTAAATAATAAACAAGTAAATGTAATATTTGTGTTGCATTTTACTCACCTTTTTCATTGGGATAAACATTTAATTGTTCATCATCGCGGGCGACTTGTGTTATTATAGATGTTGCATCCATTTAAGCATAAATTGTAGAACAGTTGTTGGTAAAATTAATTTAAAAACTGAATTTTAAACCAAAACACGTTAATTTTTGTTAAATTTTTTTCTTGCTTTTTTTCCAAAGAAAATATTTTAAATATAATGCAGATTTTATATTTAAATAAATTTCACCTTAAAATGCACTTTAATTCGTAATATATTTTATTTATATTTTTAGAAAATATAATTTCTTTTTAGAGAAATATTTTTAATAATAATTTTGTTATCTTTTTGTAGAATCAAAGAAAAATAATTTTGTAAAATAAAGAAACACTGGGCGGTATGTGGTGGTTAAAAGAAAACTGTAAAGAAAAGAGAAATTTATAAAAAATTAATTAAAGAAATTTTTTAAATTACGATACAAATTTTTTAAAATAAAATTAATGAAAATTAAAAACAGAATCACTAACTACTACTACTAACTAACTAACTAACTAACTAACTAACTAACTAACTAACTAACTAACTAACTAACTAACTAACTAACTAACTAACTAACTAACTAACTAACTACTAACTAACTAACTAACTAACTAACTAACTAACTAACTAACTAACTAACTACTACTAACTAACTAACTAACTAACTAACTACTAACTAACTAACTAACTAACTAACTAACTAACTAACTAACTAACTAACTAACTAACTAACTAACTACTAACTAACTAACTAACTAACTAACTAACTAACTAACTAACTAACTAACTAACTAACTAACTAACTAACTAACTACTACTACTAACTAACTAACTAACTAACTAACTAACTAACTAACTAACTAACTAACTAACTAACTAACTAACTAACTACTAACTAACTAACTAACTAACTAACTAACTAACTAACTAACTAACTAACTAACTAACTAACTAACTAACTAACTAACTAACTAACTAACTAACTAACTACTAACTAACTAACTAACTAACTAACTAACTAACTAACTAACTAACTAACTAACTAACTAACTACTACTAACTAACTAACTAACTACTAACTAACTAACTAACTAACTAACTAACTAACTAACTAACTAACTAACTAACTAACTAACTAACTAACTAACTAACTAACTAACTAACTAACTAACTAACTAACTAACTAACTAACTAACTAACTAACTAACTAACTACTAACTAACTAACTAACTAACTAACTAACTACTAACTAACTAACTACTAACTAACTAACTAACTAACTAACTAACTAACTAACTAACTAACTAACTACTAACTAACTAACTAACTAACTAACTAACTACTAACTAACTAACTAACTAACTAACTAACTAACTAACTAACTAACTAACTAACTAACTAACTAACTAACTAACTAACTAACTAACTACTAACTAACTAACTAACTAACTAACTAACTAACTAACTAACTAACTAACTAACTAACTACTAACTAACTAACTAACTACTAACTAACTAACTAACTAACTAACTAACTAACTAACTAACTAACTAACTAACTAACTAACTAACTACTAACTAACTAACTAACTAACTAACTAACTAACTAACTAACTAACTAACTACTAACTAACTACTAACTAACTAACTACTAACTAACTAACTACTAACTACTAACTAACTACTAACTAACTACTAACTAACTAACTAACTAACTAACTAACTAACTACTAACTAACTACTAACTAACTAACTAACTAACTAACTAACTAACTAACTAACTAACTAACTAACTAACTAACTAACTACTAACTAACTAACTAACTAACCTAACTAACTAACTAACTAACTAACTAACTAACTAACTAACTAACTAACTAACTAACTAACTAACTAACTAACTAACTAACTAACTACTAACTAACTACTACTAACTAACTAACTAACTAACTACTAACTAACTAACTAACTAACTAACTAACTAACTAACTAACTAACTAACTAACTAACTAACTAACTAACTAACTAACTAACTAACTAACTAACTAACTAACTAACTAACTAACTAACTAACTAACTAACTAACTAACTAACTAACTAACTAACTAACTAACTAACTACTAACTAACTAACTAACTAACTAACTAACTAACTAACTAACTAACTAACTAACTAACTAACTAACTAACTAACTAACTAACTAACTAACTAACTAACTAACTAACTAACTAACTAACTAACTAACTAACTAACTAACTAACTACTAACTAACTAACTAACTAACTAACTAACTAACTAACTAACTAACTAACTAACTAACTAACTAACTAACTAACTAACTAACTAACTAACTAACTAACTAACTAACTAACTAACTAACTAACTAACTAACTAACTAACTAACTACTAACTAACTAACTAACTAACT